TGCGAAGCGGGAGGGATAGAGTGGCTGTGGTGGGCACTGAGCTGCCAGCCAGGGTCCAAGCACTATGCTGTTACGTGGTGAAGCAAAAACTTTAACATGGTGTGTTATATGGGTAGGTGATCAAGCTGTGCTGCTGCAGTGCTGTAAGTCTGTATGTCTGTGCTTAGGCACGATCTGATTGTAAGCACTGGTTATCCCACGAAGCCCTAAAGACTGGTGGATATGCAGACAAGGAAATGGGACTTGATTTTCTGAGTTACAAACCCGACAGGAGGTTCAAGCGTAACAGTGCTTGCAGCACAGGTCGTTTGAGGCTGTCCTCTGCCGGCTAATGACTGCTGAGGCTCGGCAAGCTGCCTCTCGCTGTCAAGCTCGGGATTCAAGCGTTCAGCGGGGCCTCCCCGTAGGTGTGACCTGGCGCAGGGTGTGCTCGGAGGAAGGTGGGTCGGTGAGGGCTCCCGACATGCACCGAGCTCGGGGAGTGTCCTGGGCAGCAGCGCTCCCAGTTTGGGAAGCCAAGCAGTACTTCCCAGCTCCGTGGGTTCCGTGGAGTGGCAGAGGTAGCTGTCGGGCAGCTCTCTGCTGTCATGACTCTGCCCGGGCTCGGTGAAAGGTAAGGGAAAACTGCTCAGCTTCTCCTTCTCTGATTCCACGCACAGGTAAGTGCAGTGCAAAGCTGGAGCTGTTCTGCTTGCTGTGTAACCTGCGGCGTCCGGAGAAAGCAAGGTCCTTTGCCGTCCCCCACAACTGGAGTCGGATTCCTTTCAGCTCCTTAGGGTGCCTGATGCAGGGGGAAATACTCGATCAGAGATTCTAATGCTCAGGAAGTTTCTAAATCTCAAGGTGGCTCCTGTGAGTCAGCTGTGATTAAAAAGGGCAGATAGTAGGTAATGCTGCTGCTGCTCAGTGTGTGCCTGCGCTTCATTTAGTTGCTGGTGCCATTTAAAAGGTTACTGGAGCGACCTTGTCTGTTCTTGTTGGCAGGTGAAAGCTGTCTTTGCTCTTAGTCAAGAGAAAGAAATAGGAAATGGAAAGAAACTTTTCTTAATAACAGCGGTGTTTGAAATAGGCTTGGTGCAAGCCCTGCTCTGTCATGCTTGTGTGAAGGGAGGGAGCTTGTGTATCTCCTCCATAGCAACCTGGGAAGTTAAGAAGCCCTGTTTGTAAATAAACACCAGTTTTCTTTTGGTTTCCGTAATCAAAGCTTGTTCTGACCTTGCTTGAGCAGAGGAGTTACACGGTGTTTTGTATTTGAGCAATGCTCTTACTGCTCTGTACTGTAGTAGTTAACTTTTAAAATAGCGTCAATAAGTCTGTAAGACAAAGGAGAAAAAAGCGCCTTGTTTTCAGTAAGGAAAATACCAGTGTTGCTAATAAGTTACTTTATTTTGATTAAACCTTTGCTTTAGTGGTGGGGATGTGTAAGCTGAAAAAAAAAACACAACACAAACCCCAAAACTATGTGAAGGCTCATATAACTAGAGTGTGTGAGGAGGTAAAAACTAGTAAAATTACTCTGCTGATACAGAATTTATGTGAGTAAATCCTAACCTTCTTCCTATAGAAAGAGACAATGGTCCAAAATAGCAGCTACTTTTGAGCTTAAGACAAGGACTGGGTATTTGTGCTGCTGTGCCTACAGCGCGAGGCTCTTAGTGCTGTACAGGGTGTTGGGGGGGTGGTGTTGACAGCTCAGTAAAGAGGCAGCTGAGCTTTGTGGTGTCTTGACAAGACACTGAGAAGGCTTCCTCTGTCCTGAGTTCTGCCATTTCGCAATGGCTTTGAGATGCATTGGGTGACAAGACCTAGAAATCTTTGAGAAGGTTGGGGTGTCTGTTTTTGCTTAAAGCTGGCAGGAGCTCAGCATAGCACGCTGCTTGCTCTGCAGTCCCTTTCTTAATCTAGGGATGTGCCAAGAAGCACATCTGAGCTGTTGCATGCGTGTTAAAACGCCGCTTTGTCTGCTCCTGCTTGGCTGAACTTGATGTCAGGTGTTCTTTCCAGCTCTCCTTTACGGTTGCCTCTTTTATCCTTGTCTAAAAATCTGTGTGGGCATTTGCTCTTACCTTTGCTTTGTCATGCCCTCACTGTCCGGTCCCTGGGCTGTCCCTTGAAGCCAATAACTATACTTAGGAAAACTGAGTCCTCTCATCTGTCTCTCCCCTAACACTTTGGCTTTTACTGGGACAAAACACTTCAGGTAAAATATACATCTTCCAGAAAAGGGAAGTCTTCCTCTGAGGGTTAACTTTTATCAAAGTTAAGCCTCAGGTGAGGAGTTCAGTCCAGCCAAGGTCCCGCTTTCAAGGTTTTAACTGTCTGAGCGAGTTGTGGCTCTAGCCCAGTTTAATGTAAGATGAAGACACCTGTCTGAGACCAAGTGAGTCAGGAGGCAGCTTTGTGTAGTTGGCCAAAACCATATATTACTGGAAGAGCTGGAAAATTAGCATGGTCTAATTCAAATCAAAGGGAACGATGGAAAAAGTACTTTTCAAAGGTCCAGTTTACTTCCTCAGAAGAGCTATAGCAAATTGGTGCAGGAAGCAATAAAATCCAGAGAGGTGATAGCAAGTGTGACAGGTTTGTGGACTTGGGAGTGCCAGTGTAAATACCCTGTCACTTGTCGAATACTGGTGCTGGGGAAGTTGCTGTGTGTTCTCAACCCGCAGATTTCAGGATAACTAAAAATAAAGCCTGCAAGATCTGTGCAGAGGAGCTACATCCATGGGAAGGGTACGTGGGAAAGTGTTTCATCTCTAGGGTGAGCTCGTGGTGTGGAAATGTTCGCTACAAGCCTGATAAGCACAACTGGTCACATAGCTGAGGGAAATGTAACGAGCAGTTCCTGTGCTGCTGTGCCAGGGATAAAAAAGAAGCCCTGTCTTGGCCAGGCCTAATCGGGTGGCGAGGGAGAGAAACAGGAGTGTTGCCCATCACCAACCTCTCTTCCAGTTTCTTTCATCAGCAGCATTTTCACAGCAGCCAGCTGGTTTAAGATATGCTCAAGGTTTTTAAGGCAGCTAATTTAGTGAGAGCCATTCGCTGTGTAACAAAACAGCTCTTTCAGTGATAATCTTTTTTGTGTGCGTGAAGGACACTTTGCAAGCAGTAGAGATCAGCTTTTTCTTTCATATGAGTAAGGTCAAATTGTATCAAGAAGAACGCAACCATGAGCAGTGAAGCAGGGCTAGAGCTGCTGCTCTATGTTTCGTAGCGGTGACTTGGCTACCTCCTCTTCCTAACGTGTTGTTTCCTGACAGTTGGGAGGAAGCTGAACCCTGTATCTGGTTATTTGAGTGCCAATGTACATAAACTCCTCTGCATCTTTTCAACTTGTTTTGAAATTATGCTGGCATAGGCAGTTGATGCGCTTAGAAGTATTAGGAAATCATATAAAATCAGACTTCAGGGTGTGGCTAATGATTCCTGAACTTATTTCGGAGGCACAGAAACAACACTATTATGCTGGCGTACAGCGATCTCTTCCTTACGTCAAACTCATGTCTGTACAGCAGTCCCTTGGCTTATGCAGATTTTTGCCTCGATGGATGGCACCCGAAGGACAAAGGGTGTGTGGGATCCTTCCTGCTCTTTACAGCGAGCTGCAGGTCAAACGGTGTTAGAAACCTCAGGTGCTTGTGTGAAGCTTAGTTCAGTAGTGCACCCTGGTTGTAGAGATTGTGGAATAACTTGCTGTGTGTTTTGTAGGGTGGAGATCGTGTATTTTCATGTGCAGCTTCTCATTTGTCCGCTTACATTTTTTCAAGTCATCTGTGACCATTAAAGCTTTATGTAACTTGTAAACATCTCACAGTGTAAGATCATTTGTGCAGAAGCTAAGTACTTTTCAGCTAGCCATGATATTTTCGAGCTTGAATTTCTTTTCAGAAATAAGTTATTTTCTTAGAGCTACTTGCCCTTAGAACTGTAGACTGTTAACTACTTAGTGGATGCGTTTCACCAGTCCTTGTCCCGTGCAGTTTGAGATCAGACTGGAGTCTATCTCCTGGCGTAAGGGAGAAGGGACGTGGGGTGCTGTCAGACGAATTTCTCTGTCATTAGGCCCAAACAGGAGAGAAATAGAAGTGGAAAAAATTCTTTTAAGCTTTTACTGCTTTTTTTTTTTCCTTTTTTTTTTTATTCTCCCTAATCTGTATGATGTCACATCTTGAGCTGAGACTAATTTATTTGGGTTTTGGTTTATTTTTCAGTGTGGTATCAGTTGTCTGTCTAGAGTCTCTGAGTCCCTTCAGTTACTTTTCTCAGTCTGCCTTTTCCTCTAGTACCTGAGGGGGAAGGAAAGCAGCCAAGACACCGTAATTAAGCTTACTGAAGAAGGCGTAGTTGGAGTCTTATGGGTCTGGCTTGTTGCCTGCGCCATGTGCTGGAATTGCTACCTGGCGATGTGTAAATTATATTGCTGCATCGCTTTAATTATAGCCTTGTTCGCTCTTTAATATCTCAGCTGCTTTCTCTGTGTACTGCAGGACACTGCCAGTGATGAGCACTCCTCTTTCTCTTGTTATTTTACAAACCTGGTTTAAAGTGGTTTGCTGAGTCACTGTTTGTTGGGGTTTTTTTGGTGACCCTGGGCAATGGTCTATTCATAATTAACAAACGAATCCTGCAAATGGGTTTCACTCTCAGACTAGTATCAAGTGAAACATAATCCTGGAGTTGTTGAGGAGTCCTAAAGCTACCTGAGTAAGTTTTTGTGTATATAGGACTTGGGGTTTAAGGCACTGTGATATACTCACTGGGCATGGCTTATGGCTTTTTTACTGGGGTTAGGAAATATTTAGGAATTAAAATCAAGGACAGAGTAGTCAAAGTATGGTGTAGTTAGCTCTTAGCTTGAGTGTCTGAGCCTGTTTCACTTGGCAAACTAAAGCTTTGTTCTTGTGTTGAGCACTTAGTCTTTCTTTGTGGCATTGATGGGCATGTATTATTACTGATTATTTTTTTTTACTTCTTCGTTTAGGTTAGTGTCTTCAGAATAAATGAAGAAAGTGACTATGAAAGCACACCATCTACCTTCTGTTTCCATCAACGAGGAGAAGGTTATAACCAGGTAAATGATTAAAAAATTCAAGACATTTAGTTACTTGGCTTTCTTTCCAGTTACTCCACATTTATTCATTAACAAGGGATCCTGTAGAGAGCTGATGCTGTAGCAGTGGCAATTGCTACAACTTGCTGTCAAGTGTGTACAGAAGAAAATTGCATTTTATGTCATTTTCCAAGACTATAGCTTTAAACCTTTTGGTGTGTTGATGTTGTTCATGAGGTAGGACAAGATTTAGAGGATACTGAAATAAAATCAGGTGTCAGAGCCCAAAGCACACAGTGTTTCAAGAATCAGCAATATGTTCAGTGTGCTCTGGAGCTTGTTTCCAATGCAATTTCCAGACTATCACCCCTCATCTATCCCTCAAATCTGTTGTTGCGTTACTCCCTTTCCAGTTGCGCCATGCCAGTCCCGCTGAGGTGGCGAGCCTGCTGTCTGGGCATTGCGCAGCAGCTGGATCAAAAGGCTGACCAAAGTGCGTGGGATGACTTGGCTGGCTCAACTATTGTGTCATGAAGCAGAACTGCCATAAATATCCATGGATAACTACGTGAGGCTCAGGGGAGAGAAGGACATGGGCGAATGGTCCTGGTTTAGTGTTTTTAGTGGACAAAATCTGAGCTCTGTTGTGGTTTACCACCAGAGAGCTTGACCTTCCAGCTCCTTTTTATTCTGCCTTTGTACTGAATCTGCAGTTATTTTACTTTTTTTTTTCTAATGGGCTGTCTGTAAGTTTTTCTACAACGTACTTACCTTTGACTTCCGCCAATGGCTGTATTTGGCTGTTATCACCAAGCTGTGCAGCGAGGAACAGTCTTGCAGTGTGACAGAGCTGCTGATCCTCTGGCACTGTAACTCTGAACAGATGATGATCAGCCTCTTGGTTAGGGCAGCCTTGGTAACGAAGTTACATTACCCTAAGACTTGTTGTGGAGCTAGGAGGCTGGTTCATGTGTTGTGTCTTTCTGGGGCTAAGAAGTTAAGCAAGTCAGTTTTGGATTTTGGTTGTGTTTTTTTTAATTTTATTTCCTAACGTCTCCTACACCAGGACAAACAAGTCAGAGCTGCAATTAAATCTCTCCCTCAGGGCTTTTCTAATTGCTTCCGTGGTTTGTCACTGTTGGTTGCACTAATGCAAGACTGAAACATGAAAGATTTATTTGTGCAAACTTCTGTGGAAGTTAATGGAAATCTTTCTAGACGAGGCAAGAAACAAAGTTCTTCAGAGCTTGCTCTGAGAATCACAATCTGCCTCAGAGATAACCTTCATCACCGCACTTGAGTGCTTTTAGCCTATGACTTTATTTGCCTTAGCAGCCAGTGTTGATTCAGAGGACAAGATGGGCCTCAGGGTGACCCAAGTCCTTATTCCTGGTCTGTCTTCAGGCAACTGATCTTCCCAACTTTCTGCCTGGAAGAAGCTGGTACAGGAACAGCTGCCAATAAAATGGTTGCTGAAGGTTTTGGACTCTAAAGTGTACAAGATGCTTTAAGCACCTTGCAAGCAGGATCAGGAGGTCTGTCACAACATCCGTCCAACAAAACTGCATCATCGTAAACTGCATCAGGATTTTGCCTGCGTATGGGGTGAAGACATGCTTCATCTCCCTTACCTTTAGCCAGGGTCATCAAATTGTCAGCTGTACCCAACTGATACTGAAGTCCATTAAAGCTGCTGCTTTTGGCGGCGTGACCTGAACACAATCCCTCATAGCTCCCAAGACACAAGGAACCTGTAATGAGCTATTCCAACACCATGGAAAGAAAGGCTTTCACTGCCTGTGTTAGCAGGATTTAAGAGTGAGTGAATTGACTTAAATGTTGATAATGTGGCTTTGGAGGCCAGCACTTGATAAAACCCACTTAATTATCTTCTTCTGGGAGGGACGAGTTCTGTGTTAGTCACCTGCTTTGAGCTCTCAGAGACACTGTAGATGGGGGAGGCTGAAGCTCCAAGAACAGCATGTTTGTCGCAAGCCACAGAAGAGGATGTATGCTGCTGGAGTCAGCCTAGGGCTGTCCCAGGAGATGCTTTTCTTGTCTCATTGGTACATTTGAAATCAAATTTGAAATATGGTTGGAAACCCTTCTGTCTTGTCAGTTTATCAAGGATGGAGGCAAGTATACTTATCTCTAGTAGTATTTCTTTAAGATTGTTTTAAATGTCATTAGCACCAGCATGCCTCAGACAGCCCTCCTGCCTCAGTGCAGCATTTTCAAAGCAGCATGTCGTGCTGCTTTTCTTCAATTGCATCAGGAATTTCTGCTTGAAATCCAAGATGATGGGCATGCTCATAATGCTTGCTTGTTGGCAGAGGTGCTCTTCATCTCCGGTGTTTCTCCTCTGAGCAAAGGTGTAGTGCCAAGCTCCTATGTTTCAAGCAGAAGCAATTAGAAATGTGTTGTCTAGGCATACTCTAGATACTTTGACATCAGTAGAGTATCTGAAAAAATATAAAAGCTCCTTGGTAAAGAACACGTGGAGAAAACAATGTGTTATCTAACTCATCTGCAGTACTAGTGTATGGGACCGCTGTTCATGTTTGCTTCCCTTTTGTGGCTGTAATACAAGTCCAAAGTACAAGTTATTCTGGGGCAGTGTTCCTAACATCCCATCAGACCATGACTAATTAATTGCCTTCGTGTTATCAGCTCTTCAGAGAAGCAACTTGTGACGCAGTATCCTGACAAAACTTTACTCCCAGGAAGTGATGTATGAATCATTAACAAATGTGTGCAGAGATGCAGTGGGTAGCACAGAGGCTGTTACCCTCCCACTTAACACCTGTACTTTGCAGTGATGCAAGAGCTTACTAATTACTGTGTTTATTCTGATGCTTTATTCTAGAGAGCAGCTCAGTTCCCTTCTGAAGACCTATAACTCTTACTATTCCGATCAAGAGAATCTGCAACTGTCATATAATCAGGTAAGAATATATGTAAAAATAATAGTACAGGCTTAATGTAGGAAGCACCTTAGTGGGCACTGATGTTTGATGTGGCTGGATGGAACCATGTAGCATACCTGTTGCATATTAGATGGAACGTGTATTGATAAAAGCCACAGCAAGTGCTTGAGTCAGGTGCTGTGAGTGGAAGAGCAGAAATAGTCATCTTCAGATTAGGGGGACTTAGATTTTTAAACAATGTCATCTCCTCACCATCTCTTTTTTTAGTGTTTCACGGGAAATTGTTCTTTGGGGTGATGTCTCAAGTCCTAGTAAGTAGCAGTACTGCAAATAATTCTGAGGGGCAGTTCACCCCCTGCCCCTTCAGCCTGAATCCAGTGTGTTATGGCAGGGCTGCTGTCACTTGGGTCAAGGAGACCTTCCTGCTTTCTACTGGAATGTGAACCTGTAGTAGAGAGAAAATGCTTTTAACTGTAGCTTCAGAAAACCGTCTCCTGTGGTGAGGGGCTTGTGGAGCTGAAGGATGGATGGAAGCATTAATCATGTCTCTCGGACTACAGACTTGTCAGCATAGAGGTCTGAACCTGGTTTGTCACGAGCTCGTTTCTGTTGTTTTTCCTGATATCAAGACCCAAGATGATGTTAGAACCATCTGTGGCAGAAGTGGTCTGAAAACTGACCTCCCTCACTTCTCTGTCCCAGCCTACAATGCACTGAGGGGGTTCTGTGTCGGTGAGAATGGCGACTGGTAACAGGCTTTGGGCTGGTGTTGCTTGGAGTCAGCAAGGACAATTTTGTTAGCTGCTGCCTACTCATTTATCAGCAGTTGTTCTTCCCCTTCACTGCATTCTGGGCACCCTGGTTTCAGGAGAGCTAGGCCTTCAAGTAGAATGAATAGGATCTGACTTAAACCTGTATGGTATTCTGGGCACGTTGGCCGGAAAACCTCCTGGTTCAAGTGGGACTGATGCTGGCACGAGATCAGGTGAGCCAAGGCTTTAGCTAACTCTTTGGGCAATACCTGCCGGTTTCTCCAGGTGCCGCGTTCCATGACTGTGTTGGCCTCAGTGATTTCATTGTATTTCTGCTACTTTGAGGAGTACTTGATCATTATTACATGGTAATAATTACTCATTTATTATGCAACTGTCATGGTGGTTGTTGGTTTCTTCCCTCTAGGACGAAGGAAGCAAACCATTTATTGAAGGCATCTTGTCGATATTTTGGGGAGTCCGACATCCTATCCGATTAAAAATTCAGGATGAGAAGCAGATACCCTCTTTCGTAACCCTCAAGTCAACTGAGAGTGTGGGTTTGTTCCCAAGTAAAAGGTAAAGTATTAACTTGGGTAAGAAGGAGGCAGGTGGTCATTTGAAGATGCCTACGTAGGTGGCTTCAGTGGGTATGGCTGCTGGTGTAGTCCCCTGTTCCCCAGAGGCTGTGGTCATTGCTTGCATGGCTGTTCTCTGTGCCCAGTGTAACTGGTGTCGTTTTTAACAGCTTCTGCTGGGCAGAAAGATGCATTTTTGTGACCTCTTTGGTGCGTCTTTGGCTGTTCTTGCCTAGACTGACTATTGCTATGCAAGTAGGGGGAGACTTCTGTCGAGGACAACTACCAGTGAACACCCCCCACATATATCTGTAGAGACAATAATTTGCTAGTCCCTGGAAGGCCTCATGGTGGTGCAAGTTCTATGACATGAAGCAAAAAGCTGGTAGGTTAGTGTTACCTTTGAAGGTATTTCAGGAGTGCAGCCTTCTTAGGGCAAAGGTCAAGCTAGGAGCTTTGCCTGCGCAGAATCTAATGTTCAAGTCCCTTAAAAATCGCCCCAGATCAGCTGCTCCTTCAGGCAGTGATCTGATCCGATTCCTGCCAGGTTTGCTTTATCTTGAACAAGTGGGTAGGTTCTTTCTGGTTGGAATGCTCTTTCCCAAGCCTTGAATGGTGAATTTTGAGCTCTATCTGCTGAGCTGAAGCCGAGTAATGTGTAAAATAGAGGCTGAGCCAATGTTTGCCCTGAATGAATTGCTGCAGAAATCTGCATTTCGGAGCTGGCTTTCTTAATTATCCGTTGTTTAAAAAAAAAGTAGATCTAGCACTTGAGGCTATGGTGTAGTGGTTAGGTATGGTGGGATGAAGGTTGGACTAGATGATCTTCAAAGGTCCCTTCCAACCCCTGACATTCTGTGATTCTGTGATTCTGTAAGACAGCATTCCCTACATGTTTGAATTGTGGGTGTAACTTCACTATCAGTGCAGCTGTGGGTTTAGAGTGAGGTCTGGGAGAGTCTTCCTCCCTACTTCTGGCTGTTGAAGTGAAGGGCTGTAACCTGCCAGGAGTAACCAGGGAGTCTGATGCAAATCTGGTTGTGGTTTTTACCTTTTTTTTTTTTTCCCCCTCCTTCACTGGATCTACTTGAAGAGGGGGTTTGTGGCCTTTAAGATAGTCTGGTCTGGTAGTTTAAGTTATGCTTTGCCTTTTATGTCTTAAAATCTTAGGACTCGTGGAGATCTGAATCTTTAAAGTAAATAGTAATTCATGATCGTAGCAGTGTGAAGCTGCCCAGACATGCTTTAAGGTATGCAGAGCAGCTTGGCTGTTTCATCTTAACCGAATTTTTCAAATGCATGGAACACAACTGAGGTTGTTTGGCATGTTCATTTGAGTTAGTAGAATATTGTGTTGAATGTATATAGGAAATGCATTTTTAATGTTTTGCTACAAATGGGTTTATTCTCAATCAGAGCAGTAACTGGCCAGAGACTTTGTGCTAGAGAGGTTATGCAATTAATTATGGAAATACAGTGTAAAGGAAGCTGAGCTTTGAAACAAGCTCGATTGAATTTCTGGTTTTGTACAGGTCTGGTTTGTGTAGCACGGGCAGCTGGTGTGGTTCATCTTTCCTGTCCATGTGTGTAACAGACATGATGTCACCTGTGACTGTTTAAACTACAATATCTGTGGTTTGTGTGCTGCCTGCTCTCCTACATGTGATAAATACAGGGTGTTGCTGTAAAACAGGTGAAGAATTACTGCCTGAGTTTGAAGGGACATAAGGATCCATGTTCAGCAAGCTCTAAATAGCATTGTGTGTCTTTTGGGATCCCCAGTCATACCACATTTTAAAAAATAACTTTATTATGGACTAAATTAAAATTGCTGGCTTCATATACCACACTAAAATCTCTGATCATGTTCTATAGAGGTTTGAACAGGGATAGGAAGGTGTTACAGGAAGCCTGGCTCCAGGATAAATTGATACCACTCAGCTGAGGAGGAGTTATCAGCTAGAGCTGTTGGGTATTGCAGGGGAATGACACGCTGGGGAGAATTTGATGACCTGCATCACATTAGTGGGGAGACGCTGAAATCTACTGAAGAGAAGCCAAACCTCGAGACAAGTGAGTGGTGGTGCTCTTAAATGGATTTAAAAAATCTTTGTTCTGTGACTGCACAAAGCTTTTTGACACCCCATGCCTTTCCTACCAGTAAAGGGAAGTCTTGTTCTGCCCGTTCCTAACGCCTGTTACATGCTAGAGTAACACTGACCTGGGACTGGGCAGTGGAGGCGTGTGCTTACGCTTGGCTCCTCTCCTGCTCTCCACCCCCCCAAAAAATAAATCAATACATCACATCTCTCCCCTGAGAGCCTCCTTCCCACGGGTGCTGGCGAGGAGGGTGGGGCAGCCGTACCAAGTGCTGATGTGCTTGCCTTGATGGCCAGGTTACTGCAGGTACGAAAGCCGCCCTCTGAGGTCTGGCAGCGAGCAGGAACATGACTGCGCTACCCTGCCTCGGGCCGTCAGCACGGCCGTGCGCAGGAGGACCAAGCTCCCCACCATAGCCAGGACCGAAGAGGAAACTCACAGGTTTTCAATTAACGGCCACTTCTACAACTATGAGGTACAGAAGTTTGATAACTGGTCTCCCATCACCTTTCATGCACTGCTGAGTACAGCTGTCCCTGTGCTCATGTCCTGCTGCTGCTGTTTGTTGTTCCTAGACCTCAGTTTTCACTCCAGCTTTTGGATCAGAAACCAAAATAAGAATCAACAGCCAGATGAGAACGAGACAAGTGATAGAACAATTGCTTCGGAAGTTCAAGGTGAGCGTGTGTGTGTCCCGAAGGGCGCGCAGCACTCCTCTCCGCAAGAGAACTCCAGTGTGTCAGGGTGATGTCCGAGGCAGGAAAACCCCGGGAGGGACCAGTGTGCAGAGTAGAACACAACAGAAAAGCCACACGGGCGGCTTTTACGGAACGCACTTTTGTTATTTTACCCTTTTTTTCACAGCTGCTTGAGTCTAGAAGGTGTAAATGGGGTGCAGAAGGGTAGAAGAGCTTCTCTGCGAATTGCCGTGCCGGGAGCGCGGCTGGGACACCAGCTGCCGGGTGCCGTGGCTGTGCTGCCCTCTGCTGGCGGGCCCGGGGAACTGCACCCTGGTTACAAGGGCCCGCAGTCCCTCTCCGGGCCGAGCGGCTGGGAGGTGCTTTCTGGTGGATCCAGGCACACAGAAAGCTCCACCGAGCCAGAGCTAAAACTAGTGCTCAAGATCAGTGCCACACGGTCTGAAAGCACTTTTTTTTTAATTTTCATTTGCTTTATCTGCTGACAGCGAAATGCTGGGAGAGTGTATCCATCAGTTGGAATAGACTTTTTCTGTTTGTGTTTTAACAGATAGAAAACAGCCCCCATGAATTTGCACTTTATATTATCCACGCGTCCGGAGGTAAGCCAGGCACCACGGCATGATCACTTTGTATCTAATTATCCTCTGTGTGTGTGTGTGTTTGATGGGACTCACCACAGGCATCTGCCTTAGCCACATGAGGGTTACTTCACCAACACAGTTTACGCTATCCCTTCAGTAAACAAGATTTATTTTTTTTTTTTATTAAAAGGAGTATTGGCAAGAATGGGAGACAGAACTGATGGGCTTGTGCCTTCAATGTCCAAGCACAAAGTTGAAATATTTGAAAACCATCAAGTAGACAGTGACTCGGGGAGTGATGGTTAAGCTGGTGGGTCTGGGATCAGTCTTAGAAATGCTCACTTGGCTTCCTAAATTGCTGTTCTTGTGTTTCATCTACCAAGTTCTTCCCAACTGGGCAGCATAAGTCAGGTGCCACATCATCCTTTAAGTATCTTCTAAAAGTGCACCTCATGCAGATTTAGGACCTTTGAAAAGAAAAATAAGACTAGTTGACTGCACTGTTGTGTGTTCTGAGCATCCTGACATTTCTTGTCCATCCCAGAGAAGAAGCAGCTGAGGAGCGGAGATGTTCCCTTACTGCACAGACTCTTGCAGGGGCCCGCAGAGAAGGTTGCCAAGTTTTTTCTCATGGACAGGGACGTGGAGGAGATCAGCAGCGATGTACGTACACCATCAATTCTAACAGTCCACAGCGTTTTTGTCAGTTAACACAGCTGCTCACGGGCTGTTCTTCTTGGTAGGTTGCTCAGTACATTCAATTTCATCTCCCCTTTTTGGAATCGATTCTTCACAGAATAAATGAAGAAGAGCAGCAGGAGATTCAACAGACAGTTGCAAGGTAAATCAAAATACAAGAGGGGTCACTTTAACCCATAATTCTAAGTCTTCTCCTGGACTTAGTTTAAGAGGTGGATGTGTTCATATATTGGAGTGCACTTGGAACACTGTGCTGTCACTATGTAAGTGGAACTTGGTGACGTTTACAGTCCTTTCGATATCCTGCACACACAGATGAGCGTTTGCTGTTCAAGATTGCAGAATAAATACTGCCTATATGGACAGTGTCTTGAGAAAATTCAGACTTTCATGTATACTTCTGTTTGTTCTCTGAGTCTTGGTCTGGTTCCTCAGTTTCTACTTGCTGCTGTGTATTTCTGAGAAAAGTAGGAATGTGATGTGTTTTGTGGGGCTATTTAGGTAACATAGCATTTAAAAATTCAGCACTAATGCAGCTTTGTGGTCCTTGAAAACTTCATCCGATAAATAGTTTGAGTTCTAGTGGTAGCTCAAAATGCACAACAGGTACAAGTTAGGAACGTGCTGATGTTTATGAGCATTTGGTTCTGATGTGGGAAGTGGTGAGAGTTTTGTACCAGCTGTGGATCTCTTACCAGCTGATGGTCTGATAATCACTTTGAATCCAAGTAGCCAGTAAATGTAAAAAAGAAATAAAACCCTACCCAGCATTTGCCATTTGCTACTGGAGAAGCTTTCATTATTATTTTTTTGAGCTGTTCAAGTAGCAGATTAGAATTTGGGTTGAATTTTTTCAGGATACTTGGTTCCTTAAATGTGTTCTCTCCCTCCCTTCCTACACCTCAGGTACCTCAAAGAGAAGAGCATCATCTGTCAGCACCTGCACGATCGAACTGTTAAAAAAACAGAGACTACTGTTTGATGTGAGCAGCTGTTGCAGCTTCCCTGTGCTCTGCTTTGCCCAAGGCAAGTCAGTTGGTTGGCCTCCATGTTCCATGACTGAAGAGAACTTTAAGCACAAGGTGCTCAAATTCCTCAGGCAACTGAAACTGAACCCCCTGTGCTACAGCTGCAGGACACAAGCTGGGAACCACCTCGAGAAGATGCACAAGGTCCCTCCCAAGACAGATGCGGAATCAAGCGTGAAGCTTAAGATAGGGAAGAAATCCTGTGAAAAGCACAAGGCTTCAAAACCTACTAGTGTGCAAACCATCACCAAGTCTAGATATAAGAACAACGCTGCATTAACCTCTGTGTTAATCATGCAGAAAATGATGGAAATAAAGTATATGGGTTTTCCTTTTCTTGCGGAAATGTGGAATTATATTGGGGGGAAGCTTTTCAGTAGAAATAAGTGGTAAAAAATATTTATGCATCTCACATTGCAGTTAGGCTTTTCATTTAGCTTTAAAAAAAACCCCAGACCAAAGAACAACCAAGTCTGCCAGAGAGCACAGATGTCGCTGACTTGGGCCTGGCTAGATGCCTGACTTACTTCAGCGTTGAGCTATGGTTAGAGAAATACAAAGGGAAGCCCTCCTAAGTAGTAGGTACTCAGCTCTTTAACTTAAGAGGGAATATCTCCCTGAAAGCTCTTGAACTGCGCAGTAAGATCTTTGACTTAATGCTGTTGCATTTGCTTGATTGGGTCCTGGAAGCATTTTTTCATTGTTGTTGGAACAAATGATTCCACATTACCTCAGGTGGGTTTTTCTTCTGTTGGAAGACGGAAATGAGAAGCATTGGGGGAGAGGCTGAGCCGGGGTTGGGGCTGCAGCCTTCCCCCAGGTGTGGTCTCAGGTGCAGGCTGGCCCCAGCACAGAGTGCAGCAGCCAGCCCTTGGGTCCTGTCTGGTTGTGTCGTGCTGAATTTTAAAGCTCTAATTGTGGAGATGTAAATAAAATCTACTTTGCGTTCAATGACTTGCTCTCCTTTTTTTCCCATGGTAACTGCGTTTTGCCTGTGCTGCCTTAGGTGTTTGTGGCTAAGCTAAGCACCGTGAGAGGAGGAACCCAGTGTGCACAAATACGTGGCCTTGAAATCACATGGAAGGAATGAAACGTGAAGGAAGTTACAGTGCCTGAGATGAACTGAAGTGGCTGGCAATCTGAAAACGAAGAGTTGGTGTGCCGACGGAAGCTCTCATGGTTGGGGCAAGGCATTAATTTTTAAGTGCTGTCTGTTATTCTGCCCAGGAAAGTAATTAGGGGTAAGGGAACACAGAGGGAAGGAATAAAAGTTCAGCAGCTGAGATGTGTGGCATTAAATAGCAGTTTTTAGAGAGGTGTGAATCTAAAGTTTCTTTGAGGAACCTCTGGCACGGGATTTCTGTGTTTTTTTTCTGTTGGAATTACTTGAAGAAACTAAAATGCGTTTGCAAAGCACTATTTAGATCAGACAGCTCCAACTTAAGAGCAGGGAAATGGTCTGTGTTGCTGGGAAAAGCCAAGTGCTGCGGAGATGTCGGCCTGTGCTGCAGCACCTCTTGCTCTTGGGAACCAGGAGTAAGTATTCAAGAGTGTTTACGCAGAGTGTTCCATCGTCTGTTTTGTAAGTGCTTGAGGAGCTGTGTGAAGTGAGCTCTGTAAATAGGAGTTTCCCTCTTCTGGAATGGTGCAGCAGCCTCATGCTATGTCCTCACAGCACATTCTTGTTGTTTTCTAAACTGTTTCTTTAATTTGCTGGACTCTTTGGACATTTCCAATGTCGCGAAGGGATTTGCAACTGTGTGTCTCCCTTTGGATGTCAGCCACAAACCTAATGAAAGGTGGTTTTCCTTACTTTTTATATTCTTAATGACTATATTGCTTAACGGTACATAGGACATAGGTTACCATGAGAGTCAGGTTGCTTGGCCTCCTCAGTCTGATTCTGAAGCCTTTCTCTGATGGTAATACTGGAAGCTGTGTTGGGATTTTCTGTTTTCATGTTTGGGTGATGTTTCTTTATCTTAAATATGTTTTCAAATGCTCTTGGGATAACTACTCCTAGCTACAGACCTATACCTGGCTACCTCTTCCTTTGAGCCAAAGGCTGCTGGAATAAATATTTCTTTTAATATGGTTTTTTTTTTTTTTTGCATGTGACTTTTAACGTGTTTGCTAATTTCTTTCAGTGTAAAAACAGGGAAAAAACCCAAAACCTGCTTGCCTGTTAAACCCACGTGGAGTGCCAGTTTGGGAGCTGCCTAGTGCTGTGAACCTTCCTCTGTCGGCGGGGTCCTTCAGCAGCTGATGTTCTGGCCTTTGTGGGGCATTTTGCTCCCTGGTCTTCTTTCTCATCCTCTAAGGGAGCCCAAGGTTGTATTTTTCTGTGCTTAAAGGCAACTTTACAACTCTTAGAGCAACCACGTTAGTGAGGGCATGTGCTGCATTTCAAAGACATTATTTTTTAATTTAGAGCTACGTTATTTTATTAGAAACACTGTGGAAGTGGTTACAGGCACATTGGCTTACTTTGGTCTCATTTGCTTTGATGTTTTGTGAGGTTAAGATTTAAAATGCCCCTTTTTTTTTAATGTATCTCTTAACTATTTGGTATAAGGAAATTAATATTCCCTAGTGCAAGATGGTGGCCACATCTAAGCCTGAGTTGCTCTCCATTTAACTTGGTCCTCTGGTGGATTTTCTTATCTCTGGACTTGCTCTGGTTGGAAGCTGACGTATCTTGGATCACTTGGAATCAAAGCTACAGGAGCCAGAGACAAAGTTTCTGTACAAAATGAATATATGTTTAATTTTCAGGTAAGCTAAGCTCTGTGA